GTTCAAAGTGGAGCAGAAGATCGACCTGAGGACCACTCTGCAGGAGCTAGGAATAAAGAACATCTTCACCAACGACGCTGATCTCTCCGCCATGACAGGTAACACCACACTGTATGAAAAACCACACTGCGGTCCTTCATTCTTTGGTATTGCTGTTAAGTGAAGGGTTATTGAGATCACCTGTTGTGCAAGGTGTGGGGACTGGCTCCTAACTAAGATCAGCGCCCTTTCTTTAGGGCTTAAGAAAGATGGAGAGCTGAACTCTCGAGGGATTTTAACTTTTCAGATTTTGAGCGTTCTGAAACCTAGCTGGAGGGAATCTTAAAGAACAAGAAACCTTCTTCATACACAGCTCCTTATGATCGAAGAGGCTTTTTTTCATTATTGTGAAAACACTTGTGAGATCTCTTTCTCCCAGTAAATAGTTCTGTATTATGGCTTCTTCCCGATCAGCTTAAATCTGTAGAATCGGTACCGCCACAACACACAAACACATAGATTATTATATAAAACACATAGAGGCACAATTGAAAGGAGAAATAAACTCCTAGAAGGGTTCAGCATGAGGAGTTGATTCCATTTCTGCTTCTTGGCTGCGGTGAAGTTGCCTCAGGTACTTTCTCAGGTAACCAAGGTAACTGGCAACGAGTGGGCAGGTCAGAGCTGTCACATCATCCGGTAAAAATAGATCCAGAGAGAGACAGACGTATACATGCTGCAGAGGCAGAGCAGTAGAGAGGCATACATATTTTATCTGAAGTAAAACTATTAATTAAAATAATGTTAAAGGTAAGTGAGGATACGAGTAGCTTTATAGGATTAAAGCAAAATAGCTCTTAATGAACAGACCCTCCTTGCTGGTGAACAGTTTGTTCTTACTGGTCAGGTGGAGCTAGAATTATATTGTGAAACACAATCTGCATGCTGTATTGGACTTCAGAACATCTTGGTCTATATCTGGAAGGTAGGTAGGTAAGAAAAGTTCTCAATCAACTCGTAAGGATTTTCTGTCTGAGCGGACGGCACTTTTTTCCAGTGGGACTGAACGATGTGATGCTCTGGTATATATAGTGATGATCTGTGTATGTGTGTGTGTAACAGATGGTAAGGACCTGTACATTGGGAAGGCTGTGCAGAAGGCTTACCTGGATGTGACAGAGGAGGGGGCCGAAGGAGCCGTCGGGTCAGGTAGATCATGTTCTTCGTCATAATCGCCCTCATCAGTAACATTACCACACATTGCATTTTCTTAGTATGAATGGGTCTCTACGGCAACATCAGGATCACTAAACACTGCCCCCGTCTGTCAGAAAATAACTGTGTTCTCTCTCTCTCTCTCTCTCTCTCTCCCCCCCCCCCCCCCCCCAGGTATGATTGCTCTGACCAGGACTCTGGTGCTGTATCCACAGGTCATGGCTGATCACCCGTTCTTCTTTGTCATCAGAAACCGGAGGACAGGTATGTGCGTCTCTGTGCACGTAAATGTGCCTCTGATATGCAGTGTGTGTGTTGTGGTCTGACTTTCTATCTGCCCCCCCTTTCCTCAGGGTCCATCCTCTTCATGGGCAGGGTCATGACCCCCGAAGTCATCGAGCCCAACGACCATGACTTTGACTCCATGTAACCGTCGCGTGAGCTCGCTCGAGATCCTGACGTCATAAGCGCTACCTATCCTCTATCGCCATCTTCAGCTGTGTTTTATACTCTTGAGAAAAACAAAAAATATATACAAACTGAATATTATACGATATATTATATATTGAAATATGACATACGACATATGATGTGTTTTGATACTGGACGCTTTAAACTCCTGGATACAGACATGCAGGGCAAGGAAGTTGTACATATTCTCTGGTGTATGGTTTGTATATGAGAAAGACGAGAAGAAGAAGAACACATGATATGTAATCCACGCACAGCCCCTTTAAGTTCAGCAGCTTCGCGCTCACTTACGCCCACACACACACACACACACACACACACACACACACACACACACACACACACAAACAGTTTTCTCTCTACTTCTAAAATATTTACTCTTTCTTAATCCAGATACAGTATGTGCACACTGTAGGTTTCACACTTTAATCATATCCCTGTATATTTGACATTGTGTTCTGTAAAATATATATATATACTCAGTATTTATTGCAGAATAAACATGTGCAAACATCTTGTCCCACCACGATGAATCTTAGTAATATATCTGTTCCAGACAGTATTCTAGTCATTTTTTTTACACTGTAGGCACATGGCTAAACTGCTGATGAACTAACATGCCTTATCATATCTGAGCGGTTGATTAAGGCCCAGCCGGGCATCTCACAGGTGAGCAGGGGAGACTGCGTAACTAAGGAGAGTTGCTATAGAGACGGAGTGGAGCATGCAGGCGCACTGAGAAAGTTCTGCTGCACTGTTCTGGATGTACATACAGGGAGAAACCGTTAACACCAGCTGTATTCAGTCTTTTACTCAATAAAAACATGAATGTGTTCCCATTAAAGAAAGACTGTGTGCCTCTCTATGCATGGAGATTATTGTATGTGGTTAATGGTTCTAAATATATGCTGTATTTTAAAGGGCAGTGCAGTTTAGGCCTTTTAATCTGAATGCTTGCAGCTAATACACCTTTCAGGTTGAATGACAGATTTGCTGGGATTTTATGAAACCCGTTTATAAAAAGTCCATTACATATTCTGTGCCGGAATATATAATGGACTTTATATAAGGATGGCTGTTTTAGTTGAAGAGACAGCCATAGGGCAGAAGTTGGCCATTCAACCGTAACCTCAGCTTCCCAGGGCAGACAATATCCTGCCAAGGCATCTTGGAGTGGTTTCAGGCCTGTGGCATCACCTACCACTGACACACACACACACACACACACACACACACACACACACACAAGGAAACAGATGATATCACTAGGCCAGACAAGGATACAGTATACTGTGACCAAGGACGAATGAGACACGCATGTTGATTGTGATAAATGTCAGTCCATAAGGAAGATTGAATAAAAGAAAATCAGTTTCATTTATTTAAATTTTTTTCCCTATTTAGGTAGTATTCTGTCGTGATCTCATAGGTAAATAAAAGCATTATGAAGAACGTGAGGCAGCTTCATCTGCTGAGTGTAATATGCCCAATAGTGAGCAATAATAGAGTACAACAAAAACAAGAGAGTCCAAATAAGAAAATGATTCAATTGGGCTATAAACAGTATATTTATTATTAAGATTTATTCAATGTTAACACAATTTACATAGCAATCTATTAATACCTGCCTGTGCTATCTGTAACTCATAACTGTATTAGCAGTATAGTGACAGTTACTTATGTTTATGTGTATGTATTTTTAATGCTCGACATTAAAGAGTAATCTCATAAAGAAAACAGTTGTCACAACCGACACACCTACTGCTGTCTGCTTGGCACCGACACTGATAGTAATATATCAGGAAACAAGCCTAGATAATTACATCCGTAACAGATGTTCCCTGTCTGCCATTATATGAGCGTCTGTGCTGTGTGATAAATAAGAATACCACCAAAAAAAAAGCACAAAAAGATGCTTTGATGAATTCAATTTGACGATTTGTGAAAGCCGCCATCCTTATCTTCAGTCGGTGTTTAAAGAACACCAATTATGTACGACACGACTGTCACACAAGATGAAACGGATCGGAAAAGAACAAAACAAGTGGAATTCTTTCAACAATTAATAGCAAAAGTTGATATACACTATAGTTTACTGCAAATGATAACTCAGTCTTCAAATAACCAGCGAAGGCAAAAGCTCTGCTGAACACAAGTTAGTACGATGTCAGAGGGAATCATCTCCACAGTCCCCTGTAGTACCAGGGTTTTTTATTTACCTCTGTGAAATATCTAATAGCTTTTTCATCTCCTCGGTGCGCACAGTTCGTGTTCAATGCCGCAATATCTTGAACACAACGAGCTGCATTGTAGAGGAACGACAGCCCATGGGTGTAGGGAGTTATGATCTAAATGACTTTCATCAGCTGGTAACGCTGGTTATGTCTTCATTGTGTGCCACTGAAAATCTGAATCAAGAGCATCCCTCCTCCTCCGCATGAAAACATCCAGAAAGAGAAACGACAGCACAAAAAATAAAAACAAGGAAAAACAAACAACTGCAGTGCATTAATGTATCACTAATTTATTAATTTCTCATTTTTGGTGAGAGGATTTTGCGTTCAGTACTTTTGAACATTGGGGTATTACTTGAGTACGGATTTCTGTATTTTCCCACCACTGATCCCTTCATTCCCACACTTGTTCTTTGGAAGTCAGTGTATAACCATGGCAAGCATTTTCAGACCCAAGTTAGTGTTTACAGAATATAATGGAATAAATCAAATTCCAACAAGATGAACAAAGGCAATTGTGTTGAGAAGAAGAAGAAGGCCAAAACTAGAAACAGGAGAGGATGGAGAAGGAGACTGCAAGACAGACACGACGATGTAAATATTTCTGATGAATTGAGGAAAATAACAGCATATTGTTACATTATTGTTTGCCACTTGGTCAGGTTTGCTCTGAAGATGGACCTACTACACAATTAAAATCAAAAACCTTATGACAAATGTATAAGCTCTCTTTTTCTGTCACACAAAACAAGATGTTTTTTTCCCCCTCTGGTCTCTTTTGTTTAAGATAATTGAACAGTCAAAGTTAATTCACAAGCTTGGTTGCGTTGTGCAGCAGTGCGTCGTGCCGTTCTCGTTCTTGTATGATACACCTGAACACTGTTGCCAGGCAACCATCAGCTTATAGCAGTCTCACCTGCAAGCAGCGGGCCCCACACCAGCGTCAGTGTCCCGAGCCAGAGCAGACAGGACGGTTAACTTTCTCTCTGTGAATACTAAAAAAAACCCAGCGGGCTCCATGGGTAACGGCTGCAGTCCAAACCGAGCCGTTCACAATGCGTTAAAGAGGGCCAGGAGAAACTATCAAAAGACGATTGGGACATGTCAGAAAGGTAAGACAACGGGAGATATTGTGTTCTGTGACAGTGTGGTGTTTGACAATTTAATTATCAGGCTCAAGAGACCCCAGAGGCCAGTTTTACTTCAATATCTCTGCCTTTGACGATTGCTACAACCTCCAAACATTCATCTTATCTTTTCAATTATATTTAAAATTACATTTGTTCAACTATTATGCTGTAGTAAAGTGGCATAGCTTATTATTACATTAAAAGCTGTATCAAATATAGAGGAACATGTGTGTGTCAAATCCCCCGCATACAGCCACTATTCTAAGCTAATAGCACCTGCTCAGGTGTCTGCTGCTGCCCCGGCAACGGGTCCTAATCTGCATTGTCAGGCCCAGTTCAGTGGTAACTCTACCCACTCGGCCGGTGGTCAGGGTTTCAGGACACGCCAGGGCTTACATTACGAGACAATGTGATAATGTCCTGCATCACCCTCATCTTTCTCTCTCTCTCTCAGTTCCTCAGGTGTGAACACTCTCAGTGGCAGTTTCCCCAAATCCCACTCCTCCCAGTACTCTGACCTCGGGGTTACACACACACCTCTCTCTGTGGACCAGAGTCCTGATTCTGGACTTGTATCGACACCTGTGAGTGGCACACACACACACACTCTCTCTCTCTCACACACACACACAGACACAATAACCCAGTAGGCGTTCATTGCTGCTGTACTCAAGTCATTCGTGCTCCTTATCCTCCCTTCACGTCTGTAGCTCTGCCTCTGTCATCTTCTTACACCTCTCCTGTGTCCTCCTCATCCTTCCAATGCTTCCTTTTCAGCCGTCCTCCCTCTCCACTTTCTCCCCTCTGGACTGAACCTAATATTCTCAGTCTTCGCTCTCTCTATTTCACCCTGAGGCCACTGGCCTCTCGCCCTTAGATTGCTACACAGAATAATGTGTCGCCCTCTTGGACTATTTGATTAGCGAGAGATGAAAAATATCTTCTTTCCAAATCCTCCCTATGTTCTATGCAGAGTCCTTTACCTGTGGTAAAAAATACTCTATGTACTCATGACTGTGCAAGGCGTATTTCTTCAAATTCAGTTGAAAATGAATGCTGATTTGGAGTTATTTTTTATTGCTTATTATAAAAGAGTGAGCTGGTTTAACTACCAGGTAGTATTTGTCTTATTTTAAGTAATTGTATCATAAACTGAATCATCCACATTTTCTATTCTAGTTATTTGCAGCCCAACACGACTTCATCTGTATATCTGACTTGTCTGAATTACCACCTTTCCAACATTTGGAATTGAGAGTGCATCAGTCTGTCAAGTGTGTATTTCATTTTTTTTTTTGTTTTACAGTATTTTATCTACTGTGCTTTTCCAAAGTGAGCAGGTGACCTGGGGCTGTTTTGTGAGTGTCCAGTCAATGAGGAAAGGTGGTCGGGTGCAGCAGGGTCATTCCTGTGTCTAGAGTAACAGAGGAAGGTCTAAAGTTACACGGACAAAGTCAGGCTGAACAAGATGAGTGTAAAGGGGTTTAAAAGGTCACGTCGGGAGAAGAGTATAGTCCCGTACTTCATCACACTGGAGTAACGAAGACAGTCAACTTGCATGTTACATTAGCAATTGTGTTAATAAGCTATTACGTCTCGGATATATGAAGCAAAGAGAGACAAAGGATGAGATCTAGGCGAGAAAGGAAGAGGCTGCCATCATCAGATGATACAACTTTAATTGTTCTTGTCAAGCATCAGCCAATCTGAAGGAGAAATAACTGCTTTCACCTTGTTAGCATGTGTAGGAGGAAAGGCACCGCGGTTATAGATCAATAGAAGTTGTTTCTGATCGTTCGTCCTGCTCTCTGCTTCTCTTTCTGTCAGCTCCCGTCAAGACGGTTCAGGTTCGTGTCGTGGCATCGCCTGGAGCAGTGTGATGTCACGGGTGACCAGCTGACCTGCCCCAGGGTCAGAGAAGGTCTGGATCAGAGTAAATCACCACTGTGACCTTTGAACTTTGATAGTCCAAAATGCACACAGCCACAGCAGAAGTCCTTCTGTGTGCTCCGTTTGCTGCAGTAACTTTGGATTAAACGAAACGGAAGGAAGGGAAATGTGGTATAAGAACTTCCTGAGATATAAAAGAAGAGAGTCCGGTGTTCCAACTCGTGCACTGCTGCAATGTGCCTTCTTTGTTTGAGAGTATTTCTTTAGAAAATGTACTCTTTTTTTGGTGGAACTAAAAAAGAACCATTAATTGGATAGTGGGATTTTATTTTATGCTGCGGCGACCTACCTGCATTAAGCTAATTAACTTCTTTAAGTAGAAGTAATGAACTTCGTTTCATTTAATTTAGTAGATAGTGACAGACATACTACGAAGAATCCCAACCGACAACTGTTAAAATGGCAAACAGGATTAGGAATCGTTTTCTCACTTAATGGATGATAATGACATGAACATTGTTATATAGACTCTTTTTTTTGACAATGTCATCATGAAAGGGCCATCAGAAGAGGAGCTGCTTCAAAGAGAGGAGGATGACATCTGTTTGGAGAGAGGGAGGAGAAGTAGGAGGAGAGAGGAGGAAGGACAACGATGGGAGGATAGACTGCAAGAGAACTGGGAAAACTGTCTGGTAAGTCAGCAAGCATTGTGTGTGTGAGGGAGAGTCAGCATATGGCAGAGTATAACAAGCAACAGAATGAATGTTGGGAGTTGGCTGGAGTTGTGACGGAGACGGAGAGATGAAGGCTCTCACGGTTTCACCACCTGTCCCTTCTCAGGAGTTGAATCTGTCCTACCAGGACTTGGGTGACCCCTTCCAGCAAGACAACTTCCTGCGGATCCTCCGCCGGTTGATCCGCGTGGAGAAACTACAACTGGTTGACAACTCCCTCACCAACCTGAGTTCCGTACGTCTGCCAAGGTATGAACCGCATTACCCATGCTGCACCACGACTCCCTCACCTGTAGAACAATGCAGAGTTCACGACACCTCTATGTCACTGCTGTAGTCGGATGTGAGAGCTGTTCCTTCGTCCAAGAAAATGTTATTTTTTTGTATCAGTAGCTACTAAAAGAAAGCTAAGCTCTATCAGTGCTCCCTTTGATCCAGGTGCAGAATGCTAAACCTGCACCGTAACCACCTGGTGTGTCTGCGTCAGCTGCCAAAGCTCCCGGCGGTGGAGCACCTTTGTCTGTCTGAGAATGCCATCGGCTCCCTGGGGGGACTGGGGGCCCTGGGGAGCAGCCCTCTACGCTCCCTCAACCTCACCCGCAACCCAGTGACCTTCACTCAGGACTACCGTGCACGGTGAGGAGACACACGGACGGTTAAGGGAGAAGACGAGAAAATGTTTGTTCTTGTCCTTTTATGTCGTGCCCTCTCATTCTGCTTCTGTCTTTGCGCAGTGTTTTCCTCTGTTTGCCAAAGCTCGAGATCCTGGATGGCATCCCAAAGCTGCCAGAAGACTCTCTGCCCACCAGACTACAGTTCCCAGAAACCACCAGGATGTGCAACATTTTGTGACATTCTCTCCATGGATGGATGTGTACGGAGTCAGTTCTCCCGATCCTAAAACACTTGACGCGGTGACGAGGCTTCAGCAAAGTACTGGTCAGCAGACGTTGAAGTCGCACTGAAGGTTTCATAGAACTGTTCAAGTTATTCACACAAAGTGTGTCACGTCAGTTGCCGAAAACACACAGACAATGCAGTCACAGGAAATGTAATGGCAATGTGCTACAACGCCACGCAACAACCTTTTTATATGTAGTACCAATTATTATCTTTGTAATAGTATTTGTTTTTTGGATATCCTATCTAGATTTGATAATAAATAGAAAATACCATGAAGTCTTTTAGCTGTGTTTTTCATCCATTTTGCTAAACTGACTGTGGTGCAGCACAGAGACTGAACTTTGTCTTTGATGGAGGCATAATCAGATTGCTATACGTGACTCATCTCCACCAGCTCGACATCTCTCAGGACTTTGCTGAGCCAACACATTCGCGCTCCTCTCTTTGCTACAGACTGCACCGAACACAGAGATTTTCTTTCTTCAGATGCGATTGTCTCGCTGAGCAGAAACACATCACACGAGGATCTATAATGTTGATTGTCTTTTACAGATTTATGAGTTGATAATCGGTAGTTGTGTCCTTAGTGTCCGTCTGTAATATGTGAGAGGAGTATAACAGGACATCCGCTATCGAGGCCTATCAAACATTTAGTGACCAGACTCCCTGGGATAATGGCCTCTTGTGTCCTCTGACTGAATGTGTAATGACCCATGAGCCTCATGCACCATGGTCTCACACACACACACACACACACACACACACACACAGTATTCCTCTGTAGCTTGCGAAGCACTCACATTGACGTGACTTAATTCCTACTGAAAGTGTCTTAGTCCCTTAAAGTGCTTTGGATAACAGAAAAAACAATGGCGTCCATACTGTCGTACATGAAGCAGTGTTGCCCCCTCCTGTCGGCTGGAGTTGATTTATTCATACATTGCAGCAGCGTATTCTTTAATAATGCTTTCATTTTCAGCCTGCACCTGAAACATAAACACACTTTGTTATCTGATACCTAAGAACATGAGTATGAAGATTGCAACACGTTCCCTCAAGGGAGCACCCATGCACAAAACACACGTCTCAAGTATGAACTGGTGCACGAAAACACACACACACACACACACACACACCGCTCGCTTTCTCTTCCCTCACAGTAATGTGGAGAAACACAATTTAAGCAGCAGATATCTCTCTAACAAGCATACAGCCAGGCACAAACTGCCAGTTACATGCCTCATTGGGATTCGTTTAAGTGTGGAAGATTGTTTGTGCAATTGCGTGTTATATGTGTGTGTGTGTGTGTGTGTGTGTGGGGAGATAGAGATAGAACTCAAGTCTGCAGCTGATGTGTGAGAGATCGTTACTGCTGCAGAGACACGGTATAATGAGCACGCTGGCTCCTCGTGTACCGCAGGCAGGATCCGGGTCTAAAAAGAGAAGCATGGTCTTCAACTGAGGGGTTTCGAGATGTCATCAATGATCTTTGCTGCCCATGTTGACGCTATGATCTCTTCCGGTATGGCGGTGAAATAGGAAAGGAGTTTGAGTTGATTTTTCCTATAAAAATGGGCTGAAAAAAAAAAAAGATATTTTCATAGCAAATCTTGCACTGGTGTTAAATGGAAGATGTGAGAAGTGGTGGCAGTCGTGTGGGCATGCGTCTCAAGATAGACTCCGGCTGTAGGCATCGACATGTTAAAATTACTCATGCCTGGTAATTCACCCATGAAGTGATGAGAGAGAGAGAGAGAGAGGAATGTGAGGAATGTGGAGGAGTTATCTCTCTTGTCACTGTAAAATAAATATGTGCGTCTCCCTGTGGCCCGCTATTAGCACAGTAATGAGACACCTGTTACTCTCATGCTCCTCCAGCATCCCACAGTTCCTCTGGGGAGATCAACAATCTCACAATAGCAGAGGGATGATGACAGGAAGAAAAAAAAAAAAGAGGCAAAGAGGGGGGGGGGGG